GGTGCTTAATGCACAGGCAGCGTGGGCGATGTTGCGGGAGGTAGTGAGTGCCTCTGGTGTCAGCTTTGTGGGAGGTGACGAAGAAAAGTGGAAAAAATAAGCAAAATGGGGAGAACGTGCTCTCAAGGGGATCAGGCACTAAGGGCAGACGAGCTGTGGAAGCATATTCTGAATAGCTACAAAAGAGTTGCAGAGTCAAGCTCCCTGTCGTTCGGGCTCTGAGAGATTGGTTGGGGGCAGTTTTATTCAGAAATCACTGTTTGGAGAGCGCTACTGTTCTGCAAACTGTGTTTCTATGTTGGGAACTCTCCTCTTACAGTGGTCTTCTTGGATAAATCATGGACTTCCTATGCGTTAAAAGCCTCTCTCTATTTAATAACTCTTCAGTCACCCAGGTAATGATTTGAGGTTTGGGTGCCCTCGTTAGTTCCTCTAGTGGCCCTTAAACTTTGATGACACACTACATAGACCTGTAATGCGTGGTCTCTGTTGGACAGGATAGCGTTATTGCGGTAGGGTTGTAACTAAATGTGACACCTCTCGTTCGGGTGCATTCATTGTTCATGCTGTCATAGCTTCAGTGATGCTAATTGTGTGCTCTGGCCTGAACTGTACTTTGTCACTGCCTTATTATTCCTGTGTTCCTGTCCGTTCTTTGAGCTGTTGTTTCACCTGACTCTTCTCTTCCCGTGTCGGTGGAAAGCACAGGAGACAGAGGCAGACTGTTCCCTTCGATTGCCAACACAGTGGCAGAGCTGCTGTGCATCTGAGATCGCTGGATTCTGGGAGATAGGTAGCTAGATGAGGAGAGAAGGGAGGAGAGTCCCAGTGACATCCTGTGAAAGGTGATGCCACGTCTTGCTCCCTGCGTTCTGCTGCATATTTCTCCTCCCCTCTCGCCTCAAGTGAAATCATACTGGGTGAGAGTGGCTGCTGTAGAGAGAGGAGTCATATTCACAAGCCCTTACAACTTCAGTTTCTTTGTCCAAAGACATACTGGTGTTGCAAGACACTGTACTCGACATTTTATTCATATATTTTTTATATTCATATCATCAAAGGTCTGAATGCTGTTGTCTGCCACTTGAAAGATATAGGGCTAGCATAAGAGGTGTAATTACATGAAGGGCATAAGACTCTCTTTATCAGTAGCATAGCATGCAGAATTGACTGCATGTTCTTCAGCCGTCATGAAACGTGTGCTTAGCACTGATGTCTGGGAGCTTGTAATAATTACATTATGGTTCTGTAGTGGAACATAAATACCCTGATGTTCTCATAATGGGATTTCACTGACTTCCCCTAACCCACCCTCTTGAATCTCTTCTGTTTCATTTTCTTTTCCTATGGTCTGACATTTTAATTGAGTGTCGGCGCTGTAGACCTCAGAGTGAGGCTGTAGATCATCTCAAGTTCTAATGGCTAGAACTGAGGGGAACTAAGAGCCAGGCATCCTGTCTCTAGTCCCAGCCCACTACCAACTCACTGTTACCTCAGGCAAGTCCCAGTATCTCAGTTTAAACTGATCAACATATTAAATAGAGGAGATGATACTTTGCTACTGCACATAACTGTTTAATTATTAACATTAAAGATGCTTACAATGTGAATCATCTGCTTCTATTCCTTGTTGCCGATTCTTTCTTTTTAGCTAAAGTTCTTGTTTTGATTCCTCCTTTTCCCTTTGTTTTTTAACATCAGTTAAAATTATTTATAATAAAATCATGCAATATGAAAAGACACAGAAAATTGTCTGAACGTGAGCAAAAACTTCCCTGTGAGGGTGACTGAGCACAGGGCAAGGTTGCCCAGAGAGGTTGTGGAGTCTCCTTCCCTGGAGATATTCCAAAGCCATCTGCATAGGGTCCTGGGCAGCGTGCTGTAGGTGGCCCTGCTTGATCAGGGCGGTTGGACTAGATGATCCAGAGGTCCCTCCCAACCTCAGCCATTCTGTGACATTACAATACCGCAATGTATTATGCTAAGTCACAAAGAAAACATTTCTTTTTATGACTCTTTATATTAAAAAAAGATCTCTTGAATAGACGCTTTATATATCTAACACTTCCACAGAATCCAACTTCGAAAGGTTTAAATAGATTCATTGCTTGAATTCTGTTTCTTATGAGTTACCTCTTGAGCACTATGAACAGTTCAATAACATTGCACATTGAAGAACTTCATTTCAGCAGTTTAAAATTTTCATATATAAGTTTAGAGGGGATTGTTTAAGTAGTTCATTACAAAATAAAAGTGGAATTTCAATGCTTCAGTGAAGCTGCTTGACACTAGGATGTATAGGCTTTCTGTAACATGGTTGTGGGTTTAGTGTCAGTGTTTACTGAGAGGCAATGATATTTAAGTTTGCTTTCATGAAAATGGGGAAATAACAGGATCAGACATTTCGTCTTAACACTAACTTACTGAACTTCTTCCTGCTTACTATTTGAAGGGTCAAACGCTTACGCTGACAGGGCTAAAATATGGAACACTGAAAAATAAGTTAGGCAATGCCTGGGCCGGTGTGACTAGGATCTTTAGTTTGTGTTATCTTGCCTACTGGAACACACATGTCCATACTTGTAAGTCTAGTGGAGAGGTGTGTGGCTTGTCCTCATGTGGTCTCTTAACTCTTCTTGTTGTTTTTGCTTATTCACTCTTGGCCTTTAGACGCTTCCCTCCTGCCCCCTTTCTGAAAACATAAGTTTTATTATTTTAGCTTGGCTCTATGATTTTTTTTTTCCCCTTCATAAGTAACTGATTACTTTCAGCCCTCTAATTCTCCAAAACATGAATGAAATTATCCCAGAATAAGGATAACTCAAGGTAACACAGATTAATTGACAGCCCTTGTAAGAAACTGTGCCATCATTCTCTTCTTTACATCAACAAATTGCGTCTGTCTTGGTGGCGTTGGTCTTCTTTTCAGCTCTCCTCACATAGTAGTGTGACTTCTGCAGGTGTAAGACTGTTCTTGCCTCTACTTTGGTAGCTTGCTCACCAAAAGATTGTATGTGGTTTATGTGTTAATTCTTCCATTTAAAATTGAACTTTACAAAGAAAGAGATGCATAGGATGTATAGAGCTGCAAGCAGAAGACCACTGTCTGAATGGCTTCTTTGTAGCCAGCTGTGTCAGTGACCACAATGCAAATTCATTGGAAAGAGCCATCTCCTTCTCTTTGCCCATGTGGTAGTAGTCTTTTAGCATAGTGGAGAGAGTCGGGAGTTGGGTAGCTTTTCTGACCTTGGGAGAGTCTTCTCTTGTACTTCTGCATTTGTATTTTCAATACACACACCAGTGTTGCAAAAATCGTCGCCTGAGAATTTGCGGTGCATTATGTGCAATGCTGCTAAGAGGATGATGCTTTAAATTTTCTCATACTTGAATGCTTCTCAGGGATAAACTGTTCTTTTAGAAAAGAGAGTGCATGTGTCATGTCTTCACTCAGTGTCGTAGTTGATAGCTCTGGAATGCTTAATGTGCTGGTGTATTCTTCATGACAATCATACTTTGTGATGGCATCACTTGCTTTGCAAACTGCTATGAATTGGCCTAAGAATCAATGCAACATGTACAAATTAAACTTTGTTTAGCAAGTTACAATTTACCAAGCCTGTTTCTTCAGTCAGATTCAGTCTTTTATGCTAATATATACA